AAGCAAGATGTCATCCACATACAGAACCAGAAAAATATACTTACTCCCACTGAACTTGTGATATACACAGTCATCAACAATGTTCATCTCAAAACCGAACGAGATAACTATTTGTTGAAACTTATGATACCATTGACGAGGAGCTTGCTTGAGTCCATAGATGGATTTCCTTAATTTGCAGACCATATTCTTTGGGTCTCCCGACACAAAGTTTTCTGGTTGCACCATATAGATCATCTCATCAATGTCTCCATTGAGAAATGCAGTCTTAACATCCATCTGATGTAACTCAAGATCATAATGAGCAACAAGTGCCATGATTATTCTGAAAGAGTCTTTCGATGAAACCGGAGAGAAAGTCTCTGTATAATCAATGCCTTCCTTTTGAGTATAGCCTTTAGCCACAAGACGTGCCTTATACCTCTCCACATTACCGTTTGCATCCCGCTTGGTTTTAAAAATCCATTTACAACCAATTGGTTTTGCACCTTCTGGTAATGGGACAAGTTCCCAAACCTTATTGTCTTGCATAGACTTGTACTCTTCATTCATGGCATCAATCCACTGTTGAGAGTTAGAACTTTTCATGGCCTGAGAGAAGTTGATTGGATCATCTTCTAACATTCCACTACTTTCCTCATGTTCTTGGAGAAATACAATATAATCATCCGGAATAGCATTTCTCCTTTCTCTCGTGGATCTCCTTAATGGCACTGGTTCTTGAGGTTGTTGAGTTTGTTCTTCTGGAACAGGGAGTTGTTCAACATTATCATCTTGAGGTTCCGGATTTACTTCTTGAGCAACAACAGGTATAGGAACCTGAATATTGTCAAAAGTAACTGTATGGATTGGATCTGAAGCCAATTCCTCCTCAAAACTAATGTCTCTAACCTTATTTCTCCCCCCAAACTCAACATCCTCAAAGAATGTTGCTGTTCCCGTCTCAAAAATGTTCCTTATAGTGGGATCATAAAACTTAAAGCCCCTAGAGCGTTCAGAGTATCCAATAAAGTAGCTGCTAACTGTTTTGGAGTCCAATTTCTTTTCATTTGGCCTATAAGGCCTTGCCTCAGCTGGACATCCCCAAATATGTAAATGCTTTAAACTGGGCTTTCGACCAGTCCAAAGCTCATAAGGTGTTTTAGCAACTGCTTTACTTGGTACTCTATTCAGAATGTAAGCTGCTGTCTTAAGTGCTTCTCCCCAGAGTGACTCTGGTAAAGAAGAATGAGCAATCATACTTCTTACCATATCCTTAAGAGTCCTGTTTCGTCTTTCAGCTACACCATTCATGCTAGGTGAACCCGGCATGGTGTACTGTGGGACGATACCGTATTCCTCTAGGTATCTAGCAAATGGTCCTGGACGTTGTTCACCTGAACCATCATATCTACCGTAGTACTCACCACCACGATCAGATCTGACGGTTTTAATTCTTCTGTTGAGTTGATTCTCAACTTCAGCTTTATAGGCTTTGAACATGTCCAGAGACTCAGATTTTTCATGAATAAGATATAGGTGCCCATAACGTGAGTAATCGTCTATGAATGATATAAAATATTGTTGACCATTCCAGGATTCCGTAGGGAATGGCCCACAAATATCCGTATGTATCAATTCTAAGACATCCGAAGATCTGTTGGCACCTAATCTTTTCACTTTGGTCTGTTTTCCCTTGATACATTCAACACATACGTCGAAGTCCGAAAAATCAAGGGAATCCAAAATGCCATCAGACACAAGACGCTCAATTCTACCTTTTGAGATATGACCTAAGCGCTTATGCCATAATGTCGCCGAATTTTCCTTATTTAATTTACGCTTAGTACCACGTGATTCCACATGCAAGGATTCATTGTAAGAAGCAATTGTATCAAGCAAATATAGGTTGTCATAAATACTCAAGTAACCGGTTCCCACAACATTTGAATTAAAAGATAAACTGAATTGACTGTTTCCAAATGAACAAGAATAACCTGATTTGTCCAATACAGAAACAGAAACCAAATTCCGTCTAAAAGACGGTACTACAAAAGTATCTTTTAAATCCAAATAATAACCAGTTCCTAACAACAACCTAAAGTGCCCAATTGCTTCCACATCTACCGATTGTCCGTCGCCCACAAAGATGTGTCTTTCAACATCACTTGGCTTTCGGTAGCTCAGGCAACCCTGCATAGAAACACTTATGTGAGTAGTAGCACCAGAGTCTAACCACCAAGTGTTTCTAGGTACTGAAGCTAAATTAACCTCAGAACAGACCAAAGCAAGGAACGTACCCTTATTATCACGCCAGGCGTGATATTTTGTACAGTCCTTCTTTACATGTCCAGGCTTCTTACAGAAGAAACAACCCTGATTATCCTTATGTTGTTTCTTCTCAACTGGACCCTTAGCAGCTTCCTTATCATTCTTCCTTTTCTTGCCCTTATCCTTAGAGGCATAGGCCAAATGAGCACTTTCTGTCTTATCTTGCTTCAACCTGTCTTCTTCTTGCACACAGTATGAAATGAGCTCATTTAGAGTCCATTTCTCCTTTTGACAGTTATAACTGACCTTAAATTGGTTAAACTGTGCAGGAAGAGACAACAAAACCAGATGCACTAATAACTCGTCACAAAGATCGAGTTTAAGTGCCTTAAGCTTTGAAGCAATATGAGACATTTCCATAATGTACTCCCTGATATTTCCTTTGCCCTTATACTTCATTGAAATCAAGCGAGCTAAAAACGTGCTTGTTTCTACCTTATCGTTTTTCGCAAAACGCTTCTCAATTTCGGCAAGGAAATCTTTAGCCTTAATAATCCCTTCGGATTCTATGCCCCTGAAGGCTTCCGGAACGCCGCGCTTAATGATCATAAGACTCATGCGATTTGAACGCTCCCACTTCTCATGCTCCTTCTTTGCATCAGGAGTGCTATCCGCATTGAGAGGTTGGGGTTGTTCAGTTCTTAATGCATAGTCAAGATCCATGCAGCCAAGAACAATTAATATGTTCTCTTTCCAAACCTTGAAGTTTGTCCCATTTAGCATGGGAATTGAGTTGATGTTAGCAGAAATTGTTGCAGCAGATGCATTAGCTGAAATAAAACAACAAATGCTCACATCAATAACCATAATCAATAAAATTCAAATAATGACAATCCCCATCCAAGATACCGGCACAACATTAATATCAAGTCTTTGGACAGTAATATTAACTTGTAAGTGATACCTTGTTGCAATGATCAAACATTGACAATAACTCATGTCAAATAATGAAACTATCTTTGGATCGATTCATTATTCACATGTAAACCTTATAATTGTCACATGCTTATCATCGCAGATGTGTATACAGTCTAAATAAATATTAACCTTCCTTTGGGCCGATTAAATATTTACACGAAAGCATACACACAAACATCTCACATTCCTCATGAACAATCTACACAAGAGAGGTTACTTTGGCAACTTCTTGTTTCAATTAATATATTGGAGTGAGAGACAACCTTAATACCTTAGTGTCATAATATTTGAATTAAATAATTGATTAAGAACCGAATTAGATTTAAAAAAAATTTTAAATCAACTGAATTTCCAAAAACTTAATTGGGGTCTCACAGCTTAATTAGGGCCCATAACTTAATTGAATAAATTAAGTATACCAAAGTGGACCCATGAAAAGCCGAGGCTTAACCATAATTAAAAATGAACGCAGAGTTCAACCTGAGTACGAACGCAATGTTCGACCTGAGAACGAACGCAAAGTTCGTTAAAAATGAACGCAGAGTTCAACCTGAGTACGAACGCAATGTTCGACCTGAGAACGAACGCAAAGTTCGTTAAAAAATGAACGCAGAGTTCAACCTGAGTACGAACGCAATGTTCGACCTGAGAACGAACGCAAGGTTCGTTTAAAAAATGAACGCAGAGTTCATCCTGAATACGAACGCAAAGTTTGACCTGAGAACGAACGCAAAGTTCGTTTAAAAATTGAACGCAGAGTTCATCCTGAGTACGAACGCAAAGTTCGACCTGAGAACGAACGCAAATTCGTTTAAAAAATGAACGCAGAGGTCAACCTGAGTACGAACGCAATGTTCGACCTGAGAACGAACGCAAAGTTCGTTAAAAAATGAACGCAGAGTTCAACCTTGGGAACGAACGCGAGGTTCGTTTGAGGTAACCACCTCCTTAATTTTCGCCATGAACCCTTAGGGTTTCAAATTGAAACCGCCGCCACCAAACCCAAAAAACCTTTGATTTTTACTTTCAAAACAGATCCAGAATTGGAAAAATTGAAGAAAAAATCAAAGAAAAATCCAAAAAATTCCAAAAAGTTACTGCTCACCGACGATTTTTCAGTTACTGTTCACCCGAAAAAAAAATTTCGCTACTTTTCACCGAACATTACTGTTCATCCGAACCCAAAAAATGAATCTTTAACCAGAGATTTAAGATCAAAAAACCCAATAAAACTTAAATCCCTAAGAATTAATCAAGGTGACTCTGATACCACTTGTTAGATCTGAATCATAAAACTTGAGATCTAAAACCATATAGCCATGATTAATTCAAAGAGATTAACAATAATCAAAAGAGCGGAAGCTTATACCTGAATCCATAGATTGATCTTGTTTTTGGGTTTTGGATCTTCTAACCTTAGGGTTTCCTCTAAAACCGAATTTCTCTCTTAGATGGAGGTGAAGAGAATTAGAGAATGTAGTCACCCTAGATTAGGGACCATAATCCCTTATTTATAGATGTTGTACTTTTGTAATTTAGCCCCTCAATAAATCACAATTCTTATTTATAGATGTTGTACTTTTGTAATTTAGCCCCTCAATAAATCACAATTACAACCTGATATCTGCACATATAACCCCATGACTTATTTAAATACCCATTAACCCAAATTAATAGATCACTTTAGTGGGTTATCCTGAAAGATAGCAATACACATTGATTAATCATATGTGCCCACAAATAGATTTATTAGATTAAATCCAACACGATCATCATCAGTTTCAAGTAAGTCCACAACTCATAGTGAAATTTTGATCAATACTCTCTATAATTTCTGTGATTTTAGTTTCAGCAAATCTATTAGTTTGGTTATTATAGCAGTAATTTTTTGCATAAATGCTTTTCATTTTCAAATCTTCCGCTAGATCCCTAGGGTTTATAATGAGAAATTTCTGCAGAATTTTGATCTTTTAATGCATATAGCCACTTGGTATGGCTTAAGAAGTGATTCTGATTTAATGTATTGAAAGAATTCAACATAATTTAGCATTGATTGGCCACATAATCTTGATTAATTTATCACGACCTGAGGTAGTTTGTAGCATAAGACATTTAGGCCCTTCTCAGGAATAGGTTTTCAGAAATGTGAGCAATTGTTGTAGCCAATGATGGCACTTAACCAGTGTTATATTTTCGGAAGTGTAATTTTTTTATTTTCTTCATTTTCTTACTTATTCAATGTAATCATTGAAGGCTTATTGTTATACGCGCGCTTCATTCTTCTCGTCCTGTTGCTTCATTCTCGGAGAAGTCACACCATTCATAATGCTACAATGGATGGGAGGTTCTAGACGAAAGGTGACATCGGTGAGTATTTTTAGAATTGATCTTGCATTATTTATTTAATTCTCAAAATTCCGCTACTGCGTTCATATCCCGCCTCTGCTTCCTTTTCAATTGTGACAAATGATCAATAATAATATCAAGTTCTAAACAACAAAGTGATTTATTATCTGAGTTGTTAGAGCTAGTTTAAAGACCAGAAAGCAACAGTTTTCATGGGATCCTGAGTTGCACTTCACTTGCAACTTGGGTTAAGAAATTATGACTTTCTTAATATCAGGTCCCTTAACTTCCTATTATTTGCTTCCTATTTTAAGAGTTTCATTGCTACAGCTTGCCTTTTTTTCTCCTCATTATCTTTTTCCTTTTTCTTTTCTTATTGCTAGTTTGAGTAACATTTTTTCCCCTTCGGATTTTTATCTTTTTGGTTTGCTGACATTGTCTTTTATGCATGATATCCTTGGATTCTGCTGTCATGGAAAATTGGCAGTCTAGAAAGTCAATACATAATAGGTACGTGATGGGTTGTTAAGAATCTTTTTCAGTGCACTCTTTTACATGCAACATATATCCTAGACAGATGTTTCTCTAGTATACGGAGTTTCTTCCTGTTGAATATCTTCCAGTGAGCTTAGAAAATTTGTTTCCCCCATGGATATGTTCTCTCTGATTTAATTATACTGATATGCTTAAGGCAAAGGCAATATTTTGAACAAAGGAAACGACAACAGCATGTCACTGGAGTGGAAAATCAATCAGATGCACAGAATCAAGATCATTACAGCGAGGAGCCTTGTTCACTGGATATTCTCAGCTTAATAAATTTGGCAACAAGTTCTCAACAAGGCTATCGTAGTGAAACCCGTGGTATATTTATCTTTACTCTATGGTTCAAATTATCTTTTCCTACCTTACTATATAGATATGCATTTAGAGATACCACATAAATGCAACTCCAGAGCATTTCTATTGATGAAAAGAAGGCATTTTGTTTATTCTTTTTTTTGTTTTTACAGTCTGAATTCTAGTATATGGAGCTGATGAGAATTAGGTTAAGATGCAACATCTCTTTCTTGCCATGGAAATTTCCATTGTACTTAGTTGTTATGTTGCAAATAAGGGATTATCACCATTATGAACCCTTATTCTCTATTATTATGTTCAACGGGCAATACTGACAAAAATAAGCTCTACTGGCATGCTATTTGTATAGCTTATTAATTTTTTTACTTATTTATTCATTACTATAAATAACCCCTCAGACATACAGAAAATGACAATTGTCTAGAACAGTCCTTTTGCCTCCATGCTGTACTGTCAAAGAAATTTTGCAAACATAAACCATCTCAGAAGAAAATGATTGATAGGACTGGTGTTTTGGACAAAAGAGAGAAATTCATCACCAGATGCATCTCTTTTGGAATTGTAGAAGTGAGTTATGCATTAGCTGAATATTCATTATCTACGGGAGCTGAGAGGGAAAGGTGATAAGCAGTTGGTTATCTGGAAATCAATAGTGTTACGTACCTAGAATAGTTATATTAAGCAAACTTTACAATTCTGAATTTGAAGAATGACTTGTGTAATAATTGTGTACAGAAAAAATGAAATGGGCTCGCCTGTGCTTGGCAACAGTTAATGTACACCACACATTCACTCAATTGAATGTGTCATATGTGTGTGTGTGTGTGTGTGTGTGTGTGTGTGTGTGTTGTTGTTGTTGTTGTTGTTGTCGTCTAGTCTCTCTTTAGGCTCTCTTAGATTACATCACTAGCTATGAACTTTCACAAAGTTAGATAAGGGGGATGAAGACTAACATGAGGATTCTATCTTTTTTTCAGTGTAGGCATAAAGGTTGGTGGCTACTTCTAGAAAATTTACACAGGAAACTCTTGAGCTGTTCACAGACCGTATACCCTTCCTTTCACATATAATGACCAGCATCCCCTGCATTTCAAGGCATGCAGGCTTAAACACGAGCCACTATGTACTGAAACACGTAGATATATAGATGAGTAGGTAAAATATTAGTCAGACTCGAAAGTGGAGTTAAACAGCTAATAAGATGTGCCAGAAAATCAACTTTCTGATTGCAAGTAGGGAGATCAATTATCAACTATCAAGTGTAGTTGTTACCACTGAGCATAGACTCACAGAGTATGACACTTTTTCCGTTGTGGTATGTACTGGGTTTTGAGCCTCTCTACCAGCTTGTCTCAATAAAGGGAAAAAGAAAAGAAAAATCTCACTATTAAATCATAAGATTCACTATTATAGGTCTATTATCTAACTACTTGAGTTCATGTTGCATGGAGACTAATAATGTTTAGTGGATGATCGGGATGACTAATTAGAACCGCCAAGGCAATAATATAGTTACGTTGGTAATCATCTCTGCTATCATGGCACTTTCTTCTCTATTATATGGATTCTCTCTCCTAAGTGGTGCCTTTTCCCTCTTGTGCTCTTCTTCTTCTTTCTGATGCAAGTATAGGCGCCTTTAAGAAGAACTAATGAGCTTGTTAAGGATGGTACTCGATTATTTCGCAATAAGTAATTTTTTATGGTAGATACAAAATACTTAAAAAAACCTCTTCATTAAGCGGTTTGTGAAATGATTGTTCCGAAGTTTGCAATGGATGCTTGTCCTTGTGAAAAAAATGCGCCATGTTCATTAAAGAACCGTCTCCAAGTTGTTACAGATCTATGTCTAGTTGCAATTATAAAATGTTTTACCCTTGCAATTTGACTGTTAGATACGACTCCTCAGCATGACTTCAAAACCAACTCCAATTCTCTATAACGGAGTAAACTTACCACTATAGTTGGACAATTGAACTTCATTATTTAACCAGGCAGGAAACTGGATCCCTGTTCTTGGCCTTCTTAATCAAAGCCCCATCATCTAAAAGGAATAAATCAATGGGTTTAGTGCAGAAGTTTGTCCTACTTGCTATTCAACTTAACTAAAAAACTGAACAAATCAAGGTTAGTCTACACAATCTTGGGCTAGTAAAATACGTCTTGGTCATATCCTATATTACAAGGATATGTTGGTTAAACAGATGTTACAATTGATTATTGAGGATGAATAATGATATACTGTTAGGTTGGGATTCAGTACTGCCTTGGAAGATAGGCAGAAAAAATTTCTTTTTAATATGTATCCTCAAATGGAAATGATAATGCTCTGTTCAACTATTTTATAATAAAGACCATGTAGCATCTATTGTTGTAATTTCTAGTATGCAGGCAGTCTGTGAGCTTGTTCCCTTTTTTTTGGCATTTTTAAATGAATCATTGTAATAACACATTCTTGCTGCACCCGTAATAGTACAATCGATTTGTTTATTTACTGTTTCCTTTTGTCTTATTTAGTTTCTGCTGCTGCAGAACATGATGGTTCACAAGACTCTCAATTTACACAGCTTCCCCTTGAAAATATGTCAAGGAAAGCAACCTCTGGATTACCTGAAGACCTTGATAAGTCACATAAGCCTGTGTATTGCCATTCTGCACAGACTGTACAAACAGTTAGGAATATAAACAAAAAATATGTAACCTGTTAGAATTTGGTACTATATGCTGACGTTATACTAACGTGTCACTCTATATTTCAGGATCCAAACCGGGGTCTTCTATCCAGTCTAAGTATGATTTGTTACTTTTTCTTAAGTAGTTTCCTGTTTCTATGCCAGTTAATAAGTGCAAAACCTATTACTTCAAACAGAATTTCTGCAGGCAATCTCGTCCCCAGTGTGCCTACTTCATATGGAAGCAGCAGTAGAAGTGATAAAAGGAAGTTGCAATCCCTGGCTGGTGAACGTACTTCCAACTTTATTAACAAACTGAGCAAACAAGAAGAAGTACATGATGTTAATGGTAGTCATTCTTCTCTATGAACTGGTTTTCACATCTCAAATGTTGGTATACCTTTTAGTCTTGTGGTGTCTTTCAACGTAGCATCGGCATTTTGTATAATTCTTCATTGATTCTTCTCATGGATTGCTGGGTCAATGGCTGAACTTCATATGAATTGATTTGAACTGAAGTTTCATCTCTGAAACTGAATTATAGTTTCCTCTGTTGTGTTCTTTTATTTGTTGCAGAGCAATTTTCAGAGGTTTCTGTTCTTGATTTACTTGATGATGGACCCACCAGCAATTCAGGTAGAGGACCAGTTCCTGAAGGTTATGTGGCATTTTCAGTTGAAGGTAATGGCTTGCATGTCCATTGCTTGACTTGTTTTCAGGATTACTTGTCTGCTTTGGGTTTTTATTTTTATTTTTTTATTTTTTTTTGGTGAGTTGTTCTTCTGATGTGGAAGGACTAGTTTGAAACCTTTGTCCATGGAGTAGATTTAAGAGATCATGCCCTGATTACCTTCCAATACTTTTAAATTGGATCCTGCTACTTGATTCTGAGCTGGAATGTCTTGCGTTAAGAAAGCTCTCACTAATTCGTTCCATGAACCTCTGTACACTATTAGGAAATTAACTCAAGTGACACTCCCGAAGAAAAGGAAAATTAAAATATTTTGATATGCTAGACCTTTATGTGAGTACACAATTTTCGTGGTATGTATAGAATACATAGAAACGAGGAACCCGTATAATTTGTTATATAATGGCAGTCTAATTTAAACCTTACTTGTTGGTTATATTATCATCACTAAGTTTCAAGAATTTGATCTCTATGTAAAAATAGTATAGAAGGCCTCAATAGTGATTGTATAAGAGCATTGGAGACTTTTACTCCGTTTATTTTTAGACTTTTCTTTCTGTTTTATGCTTTGCTCCAGATGACTTTTTATTCCTTAATTTTGTTCCCCATCGTAGTAGTTCATCATATCTGCATTGACACATGGTCATGTTTTTCATTCTAACTTTGTAATTCTCGTAGTCCTTCCTTCTATTTTGTGCAAGATAGTACTAGAATTGGGTTTAACTTGAATAAGTCATATACTCTTCTTTTCTCAAAATCTCATATAAATATTATATTTACAACCATTGTTAACACTACAACAAAAGTTATAAATTATGATAATTTTTTGTCTCTATGGGACACATTTTTGTGTCGCACAAATAAAGCGTGAGACATATCAAAAGTGGGGTTAGAGCATGTGTGGAGAGCGTCTTTCTATACATGTGAGAATGTGTAACAAAACTCACGACACATATATATGTCGAGAGCGGTGACACATACATGTGCCATAGAACTTGTGACACATATATGTGTCAAGAGTGGTGACACATACTTGTGTTTGGACCGTAAAAATATAAAGAGTATCATCATGTGTCTATGGGACACATTTTTGTGTCGCACAAATAAAGCGTGAGACATATCAAAAATGGGGTTAGAGCATGTGTGGAGAGTGTCTTTCTATACATGTGAGAATGTATAACAAAACTCACGACACATATATATGTCGAGAGTGGTGACACATACATGTGCCATAGAACTTGTGACACATATATGTGTCAAGAGTGGTGACACATAGTTGTGTTTGGACCGTAAAAATATAAAGAGTATCATCATTCAATACTATTACTTCCTAGAAGGTCACCCATCCCAGGATTACTCTCACCAAAACACACTTAACTATGGAGTTTTTAGCTTACGCACTATCATAAATGTTTAATCATCATCATAATTATAATCTAAGATTTATTATTTAAGCACATTAATAAATCCTCTCACAATCCATGTTGGACCATTAGCTTTTTTCAATTATATTCAATTGTATATCTAAAAACACAAATATGTGTCGTGATTTGCTACACTTTTTATTTGTGTCACTATTGTTTAATTGTTTGTAAATAAAATGACACTTTTATATGTATCATAAAATAAGTGTGGATACATACAACTTTTGTTATAATGATTATAGTTATTCAGTCTAGTTACTAAGAACATGAACATTCAACCCTGTTCAGTGTGTGCATACATTCTCATCAGTATGGTGAGACAAGAATTGAAGTATGGGCTAATACTAATACGTGATGTCGTATCCTTTCAAATTTTGATGATGCAGATTCATTCAAATAGAAACATAGATATGATATCGGAAACAACTAGTATAGATTGATATTGGCTAATCACGACTAATACAAAAGTAGATTTGAGGTTTGAAAGTATCAATGGATGATTTGATAAATATGAAGCCTGCAAGCAAGCTGTTTTATTCCCTGTATTAATAATTCCAATCCGAAACTAGAAAATCACTAAAACTACCAGTACTAATACCATCAAAGACAAGCAGACTTTGCAATTGATATCAGAATTTCAAGTTTTATTCTATAGTTTATGTGCGACTTGTCATAAGGAGAGCATTCATAAGTTGAAAGTTTGTGTAATGAACTTTTTGGATTTTGAGATTTGTATTACATCAGCCAAAAAAAGTACAAGTAACCAGTCCGAAGAACATGCCCGATTTGGGCTATTTTTGTCACCATGTATTTTGCTTTTCTTTTGGGATCTTGGAGATTTTGGACATGTTTAGTTTTTTTTCATGATAGTGCTATAATATCCTACTTTTTAAAATGTTCAAAGTTTTCGGCACCTCCCCCCATTTGTAAGCTAGCAGCAATAGATAAAATTGATAGGTGGCTGGAGACTGCACAAATTTCCGGCTTAAAAAAACTCTTTGGATCTAGGTTACTGTAATACTAGGTTCAAATTCTTGGTTTGAATTTGCTACTGTTGGTATTGGCATTGAAAATTTCAGTAGTTCTGATGGTCTTGGTCAGAATTATCAGTACATCGAATGCGTCAATAGTTTAATCACAACCTTTCTACTGTTTTTGTTCTCTCTTATTTTTCCTTAATATAACACTATCAAGTCATTTTTTGGCACTTCATATCTCAGATCGTCTAATAGTCATTATTAGTCAATATCAGCGGGATGAAACCAGTCCACATTGACATCCTTAAAATATGATATGATATGACATCATTATCTACTTGGCCTCTCTCAATAACTAAAGTTTATGGTGTAGATCATCAAATTTATGGGGTAATCGCCAACTCTTCTCTTTTGTCCGTGAAATTCCGGTGTAAGAATAGGGGAAATTACCAGATTACAGAACAAGGGTAACAGAGGCATTAGGGTTAAACTTAATGGAGTTGAGTGATCCAATGGCTGACCATTAAAAGGGTTCAACACTTCAACATAAAATTTTATGGCCCTTATCTTTTTCAAGGAAAGTATTGTGGAAACTTGCATAATTTTCCCTATTTTATCTTGTACATGAAAGCATTATACATGAAAGCAGCATGACCATGCTTATTTTATCTTATACTTGAAAGCACTATGACCGGGCCCATTAAGAGAGTGGTCAATCCCCTGCTCGCTTTTAGCGAAAATTCTAAGGCATGAAAGAGGTTTTATATCAGTGATTCTAGCTACATGTCAAAAATCGACACGGCTATAACTTGTTTCATTTTAATAATTACTGTTATACATTAACTCCTATAGTCTGTCATATAACAATCAACTTTTCTGAGTCAGACATCAATCAAGTCGCCAGGTAAATGTAGTGCAAAACTTATAACCTTTTCCTTGGACGTGATATTTTCCTCATCATCTATCCCTTGCTAAAGTTCGTGTATGAAGTTAAATTGACTTTTGATTTCCAAGCAAATGTGTGAACATGCATAATTATCTGTTGTGTATATGTTGTCCATGACATTTTCTTCTTGAAACATCTCTTGAATGTCAGGTCTTGGTCAAGTTGGGATAGGAACCCCTGCTCATTCACCAAGACGGTATGGCAGGTTTTCTTTCATATATATTTCTGTTTGGAAATTTCTTATTTTTTGTGTGTAATTTCAGCATCTAAATGTGAATCTGCTTCTTGTCTCAAAATATCCTATTCCATTGAGTTCAGGTGGAGTGCGATTCTTTATCCTTTTATGTCCAACAATCTGCTTCTAGTTTATTAGTAAAATGAGTTTGGAATGATGACAATCATACTTCAGGGCTTGTGACGACACTATCTACATCTCATGAAAACACCCATAATTTTTAGAAATTTATCTTCTGCTGAGGAGGATGGTATGGGATAAGCAGCTGGAAGCCTTCAAATACTGTGTGATGGTGGTCATATGCCTTTATGTATCATAAATTAGTAAATTAAGTAGCTAAGAAACCAGTAAACAGTGAGCAGCCAAAGAAATAACTATAGATAAGATATGAATTATATGGCACTTATAACCTTTTGTCAAAACATCCCAAGTGTGGGGAAAAAGAAAAAATCAAGATGCCTTCAAATATAGGTGCCATTCACGATGGTGATATCTCAGCTCAGTGATAGACAGTTCCACGCATACCACAAATTTTGTTAGTAAATGATAGATTAAAAGGTCCTATTGATATAGGGTTGTTGCAATTCCTTTTTTTCTTTTTAAATATTTTCGGGTGTGTGTCTATTTATTTGTGTATTTCAGCAAATTTTTTTACTATATTTGTAATTTTCTTTTGTCCTCTCAACAGGATATTAGCATGCATTTTATGGCATTTTCTTATAAGACAGTTAATCCAATATCCAATTTTCTTTTTTTAACTGTAACAGCCTGCAACCTTGTAAGATTTATACATATAGGTGATGCCTTTATGCTGTGCTTTAATTGCAGTTTTTTTGGTATTATTATGATGTGAAAAAAGTTTAAATTCTACATATGTAAATACTCTAAAAAAACTCCTGCAGGAATCTTCCTTCACCTCCAAAGGCTCCAAGGCGGATGCAGCCTTCGGCAAAGCACAAGTCTTACCAATACAATCTTGGAATAACAAACGGTGAGAAATTTATTCTAGAATGGCTGTAGCCTGAGCTTGTTTCTCAATTAGATTTCTTTTCTGTAGGAAAATGATCCATTGCTACATTAAGGGTTGCAATTTTCCTTATAAACTAGTTAGAAAAACAATCCATTAATTTTTTTTCTAATTTGTACCTGAAATTGTACATTCAAATGTGCATATGAAGTTCTCCTGCATTGTTTGGGATTAGATTACAGCAATAAAGATGCATGTAGTTACATTTTACCTTCACGTGTCTCATATAAATCTATGCAGAGAATGCAGTTGATATCATAATCTTTATATTTGTCAGTAAATTAAATGGAGTTCGTTTTTTTCACTTTTAACTGTTATGATGAATCCAGCTGATCTATTTCCTAAGTTAGCCATGGGGATTTGGGTCCTCTAAGAATTTTAAACTTCAAAAAAAAAACTTCTTTTTACTTATTATTTGTAATCACTTGGTTGACACATAGAAGGGGTCTAGTTATTATTCGTCGCATAGTCTCATTTTTTTGGTCTAGATGCATAAACATCCTTTTATCCCAATGCTATTTCTGTTATGTGAATAGGCAGATGATTACGTGAACCTCGCCAATTCCTATGCTTGTAGAGTGAAGTTATTACCAGCAAGAAGTATGATTTTGAGGCCAAACTGCAAGCTGAACATATTTCAATTTGGATGTTGAATGTTGAAAGAATGGGACCACTATCTCACAATTAGAGTGAAAATTTGAGTTATGCCGGCAAGTGACATTGAACAATAAATCAAGCTTGGAAGAAGCAGCCAACTTTGAGATCAACCTTTAACCTAATGAAGAAATTTATAATAGGGATGACAACTTGAAACTCTATGAACCAATGCTTTGTACTAAATTCAATGCTAGAGAGTAAGAAAAAGAAAGGTTTATTTACTGTGCTTCACCACAATTTAAAATTGAAGAGATCTGACCTTAACGGCGAGCGGGACGGTGGCCCGATCTAAAAAGGAGCTTCGCGCATCGACGGAGAGGCGAGCGGATCTCGCACTGCGGAGCTTGCAGGCGAGGGCTTTGTGACGGGGAGCTGCACTGTTCGAGGGGGTCGAGTTCGCGCTGTCACCCAAGTGATCTTCGCATTGCGGTGCACTGGTTGGATGAACTCGCGCCTGTGGAGTTGCTACTGCTGGAGAGGCGAGGGCGAGTTTTGTGCTGGCCTCGAAGTGGGGGTCGAGGAGCTCGCTTGTTCTCTTTGCTGAGCTTGCTCTGGGTTGTGAAGAGCAGCTGTGATCTAGCTATCTGGCCCTACGGGTTTCCTATAAAAGGGAAAATCCTGTTCCAGGAGTGCTGGAGGAGCAAACTCTCAGCGATTTAGAGAGAGTGAGAAGTTGTGTATGCGGCTGAACTTCTCAAGGGTTTTGAGAAGTTAATTTTTTGGTTAAGAAAAATTAGCTATTAGTAAGTGTGATTTTGTAAGAGATTGAGCTGTGATTTTTGATTAAAAATCACATGCGGTATTCAACTGAGAATCTCAGTTGAGATCTTCTCTTGGCCAAGTTATAATTTCTTGTGGTTAAATAAATAAATTTAATTGTGTGGCTCCCGTGGACGTAGCAAGTTTGTCTGAAACCCAACGTAAATTTATTAACGTCGTCCTCATTATTACTGTTTTATCTGTGTAATGCATTATTGGTTGATGGTTAGGTTTGAGTTTGGCATAAACTTAAACCTAGGGATTTTTTTCATCTGCGGGATTAATTTGCGGCTTCCTCGACGATATGAGCGTTCTCGACCGCCACAGATTGGTATCAGAGCTGTTATTCAGATTAGGAGTGGTGTAGCTTCTGGTTTGAGGTGATGCTCGGTAACTTATTACGAGAAGCGGATTTATTAATACAAGCGAAGGATGGAGTCAACTAGCAAAATAGTTAAAGTTGGAAAGTACGAGATTAAAAATTTTAATAGGAAGAAAGATTTTTCCTATTGGAGGATGCAGATGAAAAACTCATTGATTTCACAAAAATTGCACAAGGCTTTGGCTGGAAAAGAGAAGAAGCATAAGGATATGTCTAATGAGGATTGGGAGGAGCTGGATCTGGAAACACGAGCGTCGATTATCCTTTGTCTTAAAAGGGATGTAGCTTTCTTGGTAGATAGAGAGGTAACGGCTGCGGGCGTGTGGTTGAAGTTAGAAAGCACCTTCATGACGAAGAGTCTAACGAACCGGATCTATTTGAAATCCAAATTGTATATTTATAAGATGGAGGAAGGCTCATCAATCCGGGAATACATCAACAAGTTCGATAGGATCTTATCGGATTTGAAAGACATTGAGGTGACAGTGGAAGACGAGGATCAGACACTTCTACTACTTTTATCTCTGCCGAAGTCTTATGAGAATCTGGTTCAAACACTAATGCTTGTGGGTGACAGTTTGTCGATGGATGAGACTAGAACGGCGCTTCTAGCGGATGGTCTTCGAAAAATTATAACTAGTGATATGATCACTGGTGATAACAAAGAATAAGCAAGCGCATGGGTTTTTTGCCAGAGGAAGGGGCAATGAGTGAGGAAAAGGTAAGGGAGGAAAGTCTATATCAAAATCAAGACCTCTTGCGGAAAGACCGTTTTTCAAATATGATGAGCTAGGGCATTTCAAAGTCAATTATCCTAATAAGAGAGTAGGTGAAAAGAAGAACAATAACAAGACTGAAAGACGAGAAGGCAAGGAAGAGACGAGCTACGCTTCAGGGGAAGGGAGCGATAAGGAATGCTATGTCGTCACGAATGGTGAGGATACCTTCGGGAAGTGGATACTTGATTCTGGTTACTCTTACCACATGTGTCCAAATAGGAAGTGGTTTACTACCTACAGGAGCATTGATGGTGGAACCGTATTGATGGGAATAACCATGTTTGTAAAACAGTGGGGCTAGGTGATATCAAGATCAAGATACATGATGAAGTGGTTCGAACCTTGACAGATGTAAGGCACGTTCTCGACTTACGGAAGAATCTTATATCAGTTGGTGCTTTGGACTCCGGGGGTTACAAGATTGTAACAGAGAATGAAGTGAAGAGAGTTGTTTGGGGTTCCTTAGTAGCGATGAAGGGCATTCGTCACGGTAATCTATATACTCTCTCAGGTACGACGGTAACGGGAGACCCATGTGAGCACATACGGTTATGACATAAACGGCTTGGGCACATGTCAGAGAAGGGTCTAGATCTGCTCGGTAAGGATGGTTTATTGAAGAATCTGAAGAAATCTTGTATGAATTTTTACGAGGACTGTGTGTATGGAAAGACACACAGGGTCTGGTTTCTGACAAGCAATCATAAGACCAGAGGGATACTAGATTATGTGTACACGGATATTTGGGGTCCGGCTTCGACAACTTTCAAGGGTGGTTTCAGATATTTTATCTCATTCATAGATGATCATTCGAGGTATGCTTGGATTTATTTTCTGAAACATTAGAATGATGTATCTGAGACATTCAAAAAATGGAAGCCGATGGTTGAGAACATGACAGGAAAGAAATTGAAGACATTGAGATCTGACAACGGTACAGAGTATACAGATGGTGCTTTCAAGGAGTTCTGTGATCAGGAGGGGATTGCCAGATACTGGACAGTTAAATCTACACCACAGCAAAATGGGGTCGCGGAAAGACTGAACCGAACACTGCGGGAGAAAGTAGTGAGTATGCGATCATATGCTGGTTTAGGTAAAGAATGGTGGACAGAGTCAATTGCTACAGCTTGCTATATTGTGAATCGATCCCCATATTCTACATTGGATGGTGATACACCCTATCAGGTGTGGTCAGGGGAGCATGCAGATTATGAGAGGTTCCGAATTTTTGGGTGTACCGCTTACTATCACGTCAACAAAGGAAAGCTTGACATGAGGATCAAGAAGGTAATTTTTTTAGGGTATGCAAAGGATGTAAAAGGCTATCGTCTTTGGTGTACAGAAGATTCGAAGTTCGTGATCAACAGAGACGCTACCTTTGATAAGAAGTTCATGATTGCTAGGGTGCCCAAGGATGATGGTGTTGAGATTGTTGGGAATTCTAAATCCCAGGTTATTGAGATAGAACCTAAAGACTAACCAGGTTTTAGTCGTGCTTAAGTGGGAAATTAGGTAGATGATGAGCTTGAGCAGGAGGAGGTTCAGAGGAAAATATACATGCACTACAACAACAGCAGCTCGAGGATAGCTTGGCTTTCACTAGGCCAAGACGAGCATACAAGCAGGTACAGAAGTTGGGGGCTAATCAACCCCTGAAGCACTATGTATGGGCAAGTTAATTTGGTTGAGTACGCACTCTCGGTGGAGGAAGATTAGCCGGTCTCCTTCAAAGAAGCTATTCGGGATAGAGATAGCGAGAGTTGGTTGTCTGCGATGGAGGAGGAGATGGAATCTCTCCTGAAGAACCAAACATGGGAGGTAGTCCCATTGCCCGTAGAAAAGAAAGCTATAGGTTGTAAGTGGCTGTATAAAAGAAAAAAAGATCCTTCAGAGCTCGGTGGTACGAGGTATAATACGAGGCTAGTGGCTAAGGGGTTTGCACAAAAAAAGGGTGTGGATTACAATGAGATATTTTTTCCGATGGTGAAAAACACTTCTATTCGGGTGTTATTGAGTATTGTTGCTCATGGTGATCTTGAGCTGGAACAACTCGATGTCAAGACGACCTTCTTGTACGGAGACTTGGATGAAGAGATCTATATGCATCAACCTGAGGGCTACAAGGTTGAGGACAAGGAGAATCATGTATGTCACATGAGGAAATCACTATATGGACTGAAACAATCTCCTCGGCAGTGGTACAAGCGATTTGACTCCTTCATGCTAAAACATAGGTTCTCCAGAAGCGAGTATGGCTGTTGCGTTTATATTTGAAAGCTTCGTGGAGGTGATTATATCTATCTTCTTTTGTATGTGGATGACATGCTTATTGCTTCTAAGAGCAAGGTGGAGATAGATAGGCTAAAATCTCAACTTGGTAAAGAGTTCGAGATGAAGGACATGGGCGCTGTTAAGAAAATACTGAGTAAGGAGATTAGAAGAGAGCGAGCGAATCGGCGATTGTTCTTGAGTCAGAAGGGCTACATAGAGCGGGTGATCGCGAGGTTTGGGATGCAAAGTGCGAAGTCGGTGGTGACTCCATTGGCTCCACATTTCAGGTTTTCGGGTAAACAATCTCCCACTACAGCGGAAGAGAAGGCACACATGGAACATGTTCCTTATGCTAGTGCAGTTAGCAGTTTGATGTACGCCATGGTGTGTACACGTTCAGATATTTTACAGGCGGTTAGTGTGGTCAGCAGGTTCATGACGAATCAGGGAAAGGCGTACTGGGAAGCGATGAAATGGATCCTGAGGTACTTGAAAGGTACCACAGATACGAGTCTGTGTTTTGGTAGAGATACGTGTCAGATTGATGGGTTTGTGGACTCTGATTATGCGGGCGATATTGACAGACGACGATCTACTACTGGTTATGTATTCAGCATACATGAGGCTCCAGTTAGTTAGCGATCGATGTTACAGGCTACAGTGGCACTTTCTACTATAGAGGCTGAGTACATGGTCATGGCAGAGGGAGTGAAGGAAGCATTATGGTTGTGGGGTCTGTTAGATAATTTGGGGATTGAGCAGGTTAGTGTGAACTTGTGGTGCGATAGTCAGAGTGCGATTC